TCCTCTCGATTACTCACCGATCCTAGCTTTTTCTTTGTCTCCTTCTCCTTTTCGATCGAGCTTCTTCGATCGGGAGAGCTTTTTTCGACTCGAGCTATTCAGAACGACATCTAAAGTTTCGAGTGCGGAGTCGATGTCGCAGGATCGGACGAAAGTAGGAAGACGAACGACGAAGAGACGCGCGAACAGGCATGTTGTATTCGGCTGTTCGTTTCAGGGGCAACCACATACGACTTTATAGGGTGTCTCCCTCTCCGCCGTCTAGACGAATCGAAAGATATGATCTTTGAATCATAATGTATCGCTTTTAATAAATGCAGCCTCCGCGTGCGTGCGTGAAAATACGATGCGTGGCAACGCACATCGACGTCCGGGGCCGAAAAAGAAGAAACCAGCGGCGAACGAGCGAGAGACGAAGAAAGAAGAGGAGAGACCGAGTTGGAGGAGGAAAATACGCGCGAACGAGAGAGCGTAATCGGCGTCGCGCGCGTGGAAATCCGCGCCGTGAGAACTTTCAGATATATATCTGTTATCGGACGATTCCTTTCCGTCTCGTCCCGGCTGTAACATCCAGCCAAACTTAGACCCGTAACGTGCGAGAGAAAGGAAAACGGGGAACCGAGCGTTCGACGCGATCGTAAATTCGTCGCGTTTCCAGGTCGGGCTCGACGCAAATTGCGGTGACGCGTCGAATCTGAAAATTAGGTTAAAGGATTCGGGTTCTCTGAACCTGTCTAGCGGTGGACGAATACCGACCGTCTGCCGTTTTAAATAAAAAATCGTGGCCGATACGAGATAATGCGTCGGGACTGGATTTACGGGGAACACTCGACGAGATTCTTCTGCCAGCCTAAGTGGCTGTCTATTCTCAGACTTGGAGGGGTTAATTCTTTTTTTTCTCTCTCTCTCTTTATCGACGCATCCTTCGTCGACCTATCGTTCACCGAATGTTTGTTGTTTTTTGTCATTTTTTGAAACAGGACTAACAGGTTCGTTACCGTACGAGTCCATGACTTTTAACCGTGTCGTGACACAGTCGTGATGCAACCTGCAGTTCAGTCGCGACCGTTTGACTAGTTTTTTCGCGGAACTGAAAAATTGATATTTTTATCGACGATTCCGTTGCTCCTGAGGCGTCGATCACCGACGACCTCCGTAACGATTATGGTCGTCAATATGTTTTGGCATGCAGCCACTGTCCAAGCTAAATTCTGTCCAAGCTAGCACCGTTTCGGAAACGAATTTTCACCGTGAGATGCTCGCTCGAAAGCCGCGCCACCGTTCAGAGGGTAAATTTAGCAGAGAGCAATTTCGAGCGATCTTTCTGGAGTCGAATGGTCCGTGTGGTGCAGGGTCAAGCGAGACAGGGGAACGATTTCATGGTAAACAAATCGACTAACCCATCAGGGCAGGGAGGACCACTTTATTGCACCCTCTTGGATGCAACGGCCGTTTCTGCGCGTGCAGCTCCAGCGCGAAAAGTAGATACGCGTGCACGCGCTTCGTCGTCGAAAGAAAGAGGATGCAATTCGATCCGTCGAGAGAAAAAAAGAGGGAAGCTGTCTCTTCTCAAGAGGTCGAATCTCGACGATGCAACACAGCTATGTCTGACGTCACCTCCGAATCCTCCGTCGCGATTCGGACGTACGGACAGACAATCTGGCGTCTAGACGTACCGAAATAAATAACGCGGGGCCTTGCCTCCCCATCAAACTGTTGTTTGCACTCGTAACACTCATCCGTCGTCCTTGCCGGGACCCCCTTTCCTGGGACCAGGGATGAGGAATAGAACGTAACTGTCTCGCGATCGTATCACTGTGGGACAATGCTATTAACCCTTTGCCTCGCAGTGAGACACGCGACAAACGCGTAGCGATAAAACGCGTGGGTTCGTTCGACGCGAAATAAACGTTTCCGAGGATCCGATCGAATTCTTCGCGCGAACTTTCTTTTGCGTCGGAGTCGACGATTGTTCGGCGAACATGACCGCATCGAATCGAAACAAAGTTCGATGACTCTGTAAGGATACGAAGCGTGATTTTCCCGGTATACGGCTAGCTTCGCGCGAAACCGTCGAGAACGCGTTTCTGGTGAAAATTGAACGCAACGCGGTGACGCCTACGTCCGGCAAATTATCAGCTTTTTCGTTCGTTTTCGTCGATCGGAATCGTACCCTGCGACCAAGAAAAAAAGGTAGACGGAGAAGACAGACAGACACCGAGAGGAAGAAGAGACGAAAAAGAATGAGTGGCCTGGTCGAGGGCTGCTCGAAGAGACGCAGAAAAGGAGGAGAAAAAATGGAAATGGTGCAATTTGCATGGCTCGGACACCATCTCTCCCTCCCCCGCCTCGTTGAAGGCAGACGGCAATCGAGATAAGGCGTACCTGGAATCCGGCAGGAGAGAATTCTCCAGGTACCGCCTTCTCGATCCTCTTCGTGTTCGTTTCGTCGAAGCGAAATTTGAATTTCGGATCGGGTATTGCGTAATCGCACGCCTACGCATAGGTGCACTCGTTTCGGTTGTATCGCGTTACCACCAGATCGTTTGAAATCGAAAACACCGTGTCGACTAGGTAATCGGACACGGAATCCCTTGTTATTCCTGCATTTTTACGCCGACACATGGATAAAATATTCCACCTTTCGAGCCCGTTTAAAACACGATTTGGTATCTAACAGCGCTTTCTGATACGTCGATTTGACCGGTACTGTTACATGATTCATAATTATAGACCGCTTTAGAAAGAGAAACGACGCTCTCGCTTCTCATACGCGGATGCTTCTGGACTTCGTTACGCGGTCAAAAGCGACTTCGAGGTTGGCCAAAATATTTTTCATTTGGAAAACGTAGCGAGTCTCCAACGTCGCCATTTTCCCCAAAGGCCGTACCACTGACGACTACCCTTTCATATAAGAATAGGATGTTTTCACTACTGGCTGTAATTATAATAATTGTCGAGTATTAAGATAACCGGCGAGTCCTCCGCTCGGAAATCATATATTATTAGAAGCTGTTATAGTGGAAAACGAGAGATAAAGGGGATCGAGCGCGTGTCCAGCTTGCGAGATTCATTTTCAACGGGCTACTAAGCTTTCGGAAGATGATTGCCTCGGTCGCGATAAAAAAGACATCGGAACTAACGCAAAGTGGACGAGAAAAGACGGAATCCGAGTATCTCCGGCATCGAGAGGATAGTCGCGTGCTACGACGAAGACTATGGATCAGATTCGTCGCATTCCGATGGAACGCGAGCAAGAAAGAATCGAAGAGAACGAGGAACACCGGTGTCCAACTTAAATGCGTATTATTCTGTACCGATCCGAAAAGAATATAGTCGTCGGTCCAACGGCGGCGGGTCTAATTAAAAGTGCATTAAATCATTGTGCGCGCAGGGTTTAAATTAAGGTAACCCGCCATAAATTGTCCAAGAATATCGATAAGACGAATACTTTTATTTACAGTTGGTCAACGACGACGCGCACTCTGCGAAGCTCTAATTAGAAATGCATTAAATTGCCAGCACGCGTGATTTAACGTCCCTTTTTCCATGAAATTTGCCACCGTTTATTTATCGTATCGTGGTTCGATTTCGAGCGCGTGCCAAAATAAGTTATTATGGAGCGATAAATCAGTATATTAGAAATATCCGAGTAAAATGTGCTTATCAAATTACCCGTAATTTGTCTGTCGAGTCCGACATATGCATTTTTAAAAATATCCGCAGAATCCACGTGCCGTTCGGCGATAGTTACGGCATCAGGAGGCAAGATGAGCCGCGACGAAACAAGAGGAACAGGAAGAGGCAGAGCATCGTCTGCGGATCGTTCTTCAATTTTCTTCGGTTCTCGTGTATCCAAAGACGATCTCGGACGAACACGGCCCCATCCTCTGGTTTACTGTTTCCACTATGAACAGCAACTACGCATTTCCGCCCCTTGAATTCCTCTGTGGGAATCGCGTTATTCCTTGGATCGGATACGATATCTTCGAACGAATGGAATGCATCAGATGCGCACAAGATGCGCTATTATCCGACTCCCGAACAGAGGAGACAGACTTTACCTAACTTGACACGTTATTTAGAACTGGAATTCGAAGAGGAGGTAAAATGTTCCAATCGAAGGAAACAAATCGTATATACCGGAAATTTTTGTGAACCGTGAACGCCATGTATTCGACGGTTTTCTAGACGGAGTAACATGACGTGGTATGAAGAGAACGAGCCTGGGTAACGCCGATGTTTATCCACAAGTTATACTCTTTGGATTTCGCTATTCTCATCGGGTTTGGCCGCGTGCCAAGGACCTAAAACTGGCTTGCTTAACTTCTACTACGTAGATCAGGAAAATAGAGGAGGTGTGCAGAATTATCAAGGCCGTAGACAGATGGGCGTGCTACGAGATGGTTTCGAAAAATGCAAATTGCGTCTTCGACTATAAAGTACACGCTGGTCTTTCGCGCGATCGTACGCAGAATTTTCAAGATAGTTTCTATTTCGTGTTCTTCCAATAACATCGAAGGTTTTCGCGTGCTTTCCAACGCTTTTCCTGGAAGTGTTGCAACGACTCGGAAAGCTCGATTGAAAATAACCTCGAGATTGAAATCGATAGAGAAAACGGTGGATTCGGATCAAGGACAATCGACTCGTTTCATCGCGTTCGCTTCCGTTCCTGTTGATCCTAGGCTCGGATAGTAAACGATGCGATTTCGCCCGCTGTATAAGCACGCCGAGTCTAGGAAATCAAATTTCCACCGGTTGGGCGTCGGATAGCGATTCCTTTTTACGAAATTTCTACTACGTGACTTCGCGATGAAACTGCACCCGTCTCGAAGAGATAACGCGTCCTCCTCATCTTCCCGATCCAGTTATATTCGACGCTGTATCCTCGTTGAACGAATTCGGCATGTTTTTTTAAAGATAACTCTTTCTATCTTAGCTGCCATTATACTGCAGAACATCAAGGATAGGAACATTATTTTTTATCAAACGAATATTTATAGCAGCCAGATATTAGTTACGTGATATTCGGCACAGAAGCTTTTATAGAACTTTGAAGTTAATGTCATTCGATTTGCAAGATCAAAGTCTTCGTTTGGAGGAGACCTTCGATCGGTCCACGTGCGCCAAAGATCTCCACGCGCAGACAAACAAACCATAATACCGTCACTTTACATAATTTGATTAAAATCTGGGACCGTGCCGAGAGTAAAAAACGAGGGCTCGGAATCAGTGGCATTTTGACCTCGTCTATGGCCCCGAGCATCTACGACTTTTTTCTAAATAAACAGGTGAAAGTTTCTACACGCGTAAGCACAGATTTATTCGATGAGTCGCACTAATCTCGACGCAGTTCTCAATGAGTCGTACCATTCTCGCTTCTTCGTCGCTTTTCTGTCCGATCTCTGAAACAATTACGTACTTTTTCTCTTTATCGCAACGCCTTCCCAGGTGTATCGACGCGATCGCGGCTGAAGACGCAGACGACAATTATTTTTATCGTCTAGGAAACGCGTCTCGTAATTTCCTCGCGTGCAGTCAATTACACGGAATCTCGTGGAATCTTCTCCGGCGGGTAATTCTTCGCTGTTTAACTAACTGGTGAGCAGATATCGCTGATTACGAGTCTGGCTTTCCGGTTTGCTTCTCCAGTTTCCACGATCCGGCCGCTTCCAGACGCCAGACCGATTAACGAACGACGCGAGCGCAACGGGGAGAATTTTTATGGGGCACGTCGTCTCGGAGAGAAAGTATTCGGTGTGCTTGTGCCATGGTGTTCGACCTGTTGATTTGCACTCGGCTCGTTCGACGTCGTCGTCGCGATCCGTTACGACGACGCATCGTCACGCGGATTCCTGTCAACTTGGCTAGCCGACAATCTTTGCTCCGAGATGCCGTCGATAAGAATTCAACTTTGGGAACTGTTCGATAAATCCTTTAGGTTCGAGATTCATAAAATTGGAATTAACCCCTCGGAATATAAATGAACCTTTTAACGGCGATTAAATTTATATGTAACAAATACTTCTACTTGGAACATTTGTATGAGTTATAGAATCATCTGAATATAGTGTTACATTTAATGTAATGGTAAACTGCCAAGTAAAAAGTAGATAACGTTAGAATATATTTTCGCATTTACAATTGTAATGCTTGCAGAAGATATGCACTTTATGACGACTGTTAAGAGATACCGAAATATCTTTTTTCATGTAAATAGGTTGGTGTCGTAAACTACCGAGCGTACAATTCGCGAGCAATGTTCGATTATTAAACTTTCTTCGACGAAACTGGTGCAGTGCACTGCACTAAAGTATGAAATCGCGATAAGTGACGTAATTTCATTGTCTTATCAGTAAACAGGTGGAAAATCCGTGACAATCAGCGTGTTTGACCCTTCGTTATGCATTCCACGAGTTCATTCAACTTATGTTTGATCACGTGAAACGAGGTCAATTGTAAAATCCTGTGTTCATCATTGCCTCCCCATGGAGTTCCCCCTTTACCGTCAAAGTACAGTCGAGTAGCAATGATCTAACACAAAACTCCAGTTGTACGTGCAAACTAGCTTGTCTTAGTGTGCGCGAAACTCTCGTACGATATCGATGTAACGATATTCGTGCTCTAATCGATTTCAGTGTAGTTTCTTTCTTGATTCAAAACGCGTCGTTGAAACTTTCGCTCTTGCCGGTGACGTTTTCAAGGAAGAGTTCTTCCGATATTGTGACAACGAAATAGGTTACATTTCAAATTCGATCCGTGTTTTAGACGAGAGCCTTAATCTTATCACTGCGTTATCTTCTACCTGCCTGAATGATACGATAAATTAGTCTTGGCTCTGTAGGAATAATTGTTGTTTCTTTTTCTTAATTGACGGCAAGCACGAGTGCACCGTACCAGTAAGGAAAAACCGTTGACGAGGAGCACACGTTTCCGTTTTCTCTCAAGAGAGAAACATGTCGGCATTCGTGAACTCAGCATACGAGGTACATTTTGTCTATTTATTTTCGCTATACTTTCTTGGTAGACTAAACACGCTTGAACCAATTGTGCAGTTAAATTCTACGCTTTTCTAATAATATCGTATTTTATACGTTTCGTTGCGCGCGATTTCTTGCTAAAGTTAACACTTGATCAAAGCTCAAGGATGATTCAGTCTGATTAAGGCACTTACCGGTAATTGGTCGATCCTTTTTAGCAAAACATTGCATTTTGCAGAACAATGAGCTCGATATATTGGAGGCTGGGCATCGAGCAGACGACCCGTTGAAAAACAAGGTATGTTATGATTCTTTGTAATTGCAATTAACAAGTGTTATCTGACGATCAAGGAAAAATTCCAAGAAAATAACTGAAAGCTTACGACACATGCATACGCGTCCTTCGATACACCTTGGCTATATCTCGGATAATAAATTTGTAATATTTTCCCAAAATTCTTGTTTATAGGAAATAGAATCTAATAAGAAATCACGCAGTTTGACAGTAGGATACGAAGCGCTGGATCATTTCGTTTCGAAACATCAGAGAGCTTTCAAAGTATTCCTTCTGACCTTGATTAACGTTCTAATATTAATCTACTTCATCTTCGCCACGCTTTACTGGAGAAACAACAGTAGGTTGACGTAATTTCTAAACGTTCTTCATTCGATCGCTATCTTAACAAACATTTTTCTACAGATTCCGAGGATGGGTACAATTGGTGCCACGGCTATGGTATGCTGATCATCCTTTTCGCGTTCACATACGGTGGAATACTTTATCATTTCGTTGTAAAACGATTTCTCGGGCAAACCTTCGTCTCGTGCAGTCGACCATTACGTTATCGCATCAGAAGTTTCCGAAATAGAAAGTGAGATCGTTTATTGTCCTACAGATCTCGGTTTCATTAACATTATCGATTTTTATTGTCGCTCTAATAACGTAGACGGTTCATTGATCGATCTCCACAGATATGGCGACGCCGTTATTCAGACAACCATTTACACGTGTATATTCGGGGCAATTATTGTCTTCCTTATTTTTGACACTGTCGGTTCGAGAGAGAGACTTTTGAGCTTGATCGGTATCGTTATTTTGCTAAGCTGCGGACGGATATTTTCGAAACACCCTGATCGAGTAAGTAATCTTACGGTGTTAATCATTCTCGTACCTAACCACATTTCTCCATGGCCAATTAATTTTTAAAAATGCTTTCCCCGAACATAAATATCTCCTCAAAAGCTTGATCAGATGGCAGAGTCGAGACTGCTGCAGTTTTTTGAATGTCAAATTCCAGAGAGCACTTTACAATTTCAAGCAGTTCATCGGTCACATATATATTGAACTGTTCAAATATGTATCCATCCAGATAAATATTTCATCGTTGCAATATTGCAAATATAACAAGTCACCCATTTTACTTTCAAGCTGAGATAACTGTACATCAGAAAGTCTTATGGCAACGCGAAAGTCGTTGAAATATCTGGGTCGAGATATTTATTATGTATTTTAGATCAAATGGAGGCCAGTTTTGAGCGGATTAACCCTACAGTTCGTGTTCGGTTTGATAACGATTCGATGGAAAGTTGGTCGCACCATTTTCCAGTGCATCTCCGACAAAGTAGCAACGTTTTTGGACTTTGCTAGCAGCGGTATAAGTTTCGTTTTCTCCCAATGGGCGCTGGACGAAAACGTCTTCGCGTTTGCGGTGAATCTACCTCTTTACTTCTTCAACGTCGAAAATAATGAATGTCTTTACCGACCAATTATCCTGATTTTCAGTCGCTGTCCGTAATCTATTATTTCAGCTTCATCATTCAGATACTTTACTATCTGGGTGTCATGCAATGGATAATCTTAAGATTGGGCCAGTTTCTTCAAGGTATCACGGGGGCCTCGATCTGCGAATCGGTGGTCTGCGCTTCCAACACCTTCATTGGAATGGTGAGAGATATCTAATCATTAAGTTTCGTGTTACTTTGAATTTCATTCGAACTCTGTAATTTGCAAGGTATTGTTTCCCTTTGATTTCAGTCGGAATCTCCATTAATAATTAAACCTTATCTGAGTAAATTAACCACTTCCGAAATTCACACTGTTATGTGCGCTGGTTTCGGAACAGTCTCAGGTGAATAAATACGAGATCTTCGCGCAATAAATCATTTGATCGATTCTCTTTAACAGACACATGTTAATCTTGGCTGAAATTCAGGGACCGTATTAGCTGCGTATGTTAAATTTGGTGCGAATCCGGCTCACTTGATCACGGCAACGTTGATGGCTGTACCTGCGGCTCTCTGTTTTTCCAAGCTATTTTATCCAGAGACCGAAGAGATTATGGTCACCGGTGATAACGTTCATTTGGAAAAATCGTAAGTTACGCAACACAGAATTATCAGGCATAAATTGATATGTATGAATTGTTTCAGGCAAGATTCGAGCTTAATGGATGCCGCCACCAAAGGTGCCATGGCAGCGATACCTTTAGTTATGGGTATAATCGCCAATATAATAGCGTTCGTGTCGTTTATCGCGCTACTAAATTCCTTACTCGCTTGGCTGTGCTCTTTAATAGGTTACGAGAACATAACTTTCGAAGTAAGTGCGAGCTGGCGTAACTAGAATTTGTGTCTAGGGTACAGGTCAAATCCCCTATCTTCTCTCACGCTACGTGAGGAGTCCATATTTTGGAACAGCCAAGCACGCCTTGGACCCCACTTAATTACGACGCTCCTTGTTCTTTTCAGTGGATTTTGTCGAGGATATTCATGCCTCTGAGTTGGATAATAGGTGTACCGTGGGATAAGTGCGAGTACGTGGGGACTCTGATCGGTCTGAAAACCGTGGTTAACGAATTTGTCGCTTATCAGAAGTTGGGAGAATTTAAGAGAGAAAATAAAATTTTTGGTAGAACGGAGGCTATCGCAACGTTTGCGATTTGCGGATTCGCGAATCCCGGTTCCGTAGGAATCATGCTCAGTATACTGACTTCATTGGCTCCTGATACGAGGGAGAAAATAACTAACACTATCATGAGAGCTTTTCTGGCTGGATGCGCTGTGTGTTTCCTCACAGCCAGCACCGCTGGTAAGATCCTAGCTACGATTGCAGCGCTGCGAACTGTTTTATTGACCGAGCAATCTTCTTTTTCAGGGCTACTCATGGACGACGAATTTGTTCTTGGCGCAATGAATTCAACAGCGACAAACACAACTGCCAGTTGACTACATGATCACTTAGAAATTTAAAGAAGCCGTGACATATCATCAGTATTTATAAATAAGTAGGGTTAATGAAAGAAACCATATAATTTTGTTAAACTTTCTTGATACTATTTGTACAATACTGTATTTATAAAATGAACATATAGTACGTTTGGAATCATCGATACGTGAGCCCATACCCGCGGGACATTAAATGCGATGAGAAAACTAATACGTATAATAAAATATAGAGAACTTAAGCTAGTGCGGTTTGTACGTTTTCGGTGAATAAATATAAAATCGTGTATAGAATAAGTAACTGAGTATCACAAAACACCGATAAGATTATTATTGCAAGTACGAAATTATCGTATATCACATTTTGAAACCGGAATGTCTCGGTGCCTTTTTATGTAGCTTAAAGAAGCAACAGTGCAATATCATTTCATTATTCCCTAGATATATCTTTATGGTAAACTGTGAAGTTGATGCACTTCATAGAGATTATGCGTACGGTTGAACACATCAGCAGTTACCTCTAACATTTTTGGCAAGACGTCGACGTTTCTTTGGACGTTGGCACCGCAAACCTAAAATGAGATTAACGTACAAACTAGCTCAGAACATGTATGGAATAACATCATTTACCTTTTTAAATAAAAGTTCTCTAGTAGGCATGGTATACATGGCAACCACTGCCGCTTTCCTAATCACCCATGGATGATGTTTAGCTAATGTCTTATTGTAAGCATCCTGACAACAACTGGAGGTTTTATCGCTATCTGACAGTTCACCTAACTGTCTCAAAAATTCTCTAATAAAATCTGGAAATTCACAGTGTCATTGTACAAGATATAGTGAACTTGGACAGAAAATATTTCATATAACATATACCTAAGCCTCTGTGTAGCCGCAACAGGGTACGAGCACCATTTGTATAGTCTCCTTTTTCCAAGAGTTTATTCTCTTTTTCGTATTCTATCATAGACTTCACTGTCATATAATTCTGATCATTCTTGTTTACTAGCTCAATCAGAATCTCAATTTTCTGCTTCAGATCGGAGGACACAAAGCCAAACACACTGCCCATCAACTGAAAGAATCTGTAACAAACAGATGGTAGAAAACAACAGTTTCCATGATTCACAAAACTAACTTATAAAACGGTAATCAAACAGAAACACATTCAATGACAGTACACCAAAGATATACGTGAATGAAAAACATCTAGTTTATGATATAAAAGAGTCAGATAGCAAGAAACTATTACACTGTTTGGTTTCTTATTATTTGAAGGTTATGTGTACAATGAAAACAGATATTTCGTCACTTACTTATACAGCTCATTATAGGCATCCAGATAGGCTTTGAGATCAACATCATCATCCTGCAGAAGGGCTCGGTCAAAGTGATCATGGACTAGTCTTAAATCAAAAAATACTAATTCTGAACCTTCCGCCATTTTCACGTCGTCGAATCGAACCCCGAGATTGATCAAATTGTTTGCCACGCAGGTACACCAGCCACGTTATATGATCAAAGGTAATATGCTTATCTACCTACAGCTAATGATAACAGATTTTTTTCAACAAAAGAAACAAAGATAATCTAAAATAATCATATCGAGCTAATATCATTAATTCGCTTTAAAATGTACAGGCAATCAAGGCTTATCAGCGTTGATAAATATTACAACTGTTAATTTATTGTTAAGCAGTTTATATAATATACATTGTGAGGCAATTATTTGTACTTCATTATAATCAAAGAATATCGCAGGATTTAATTTCAAGAATTATTTATTTTTTGAAGAAAATTTCTTGTGTTGGTAATTTCGCCATTTATCGCTGGATGGCGCTGATGGTATCGTTTTTTAAAACGCGCGCCAATGGGAACTTGAAAAACGTATGAAAAGGGGTTTCCACGATATTACATGCTATATTAAATTAGTTATTTAAAAATTGTCAAGCTATAGATCTTTGGGACTTTGAAATTTTTTAATCTTTAAACTTTAGAACTTTAGAATGTCAAACTTTAATATTTTAGGGCTGTTATCTTTGGAAAAAAAATTGTTTCGGTCTGGACTGCCCTAAACTAGATCTAAGGAAATGATGAATAATTTCACAAGAAAATTAATCTTATGTTAAGAATATAACAATATTCTTTTTTTGCATATTGAATCGATCGATTTCAGTTTCTGCAGAAGTTTCCACACGCGTTCGTGTCGTATCGTTGTACGCGGTCTCTTTGTTCTCTGCAGGACAGCATAATTTAATTTAAACTGAATGGCCGTTAAACATTCCAAACTTGTCTTTCACCTTGTACTCGCCGATTAATTAAAGCAATCTAAACGTGATTGCATGCTCGACCGCATATTCATTCGCGCGAATTCATTGACGTCGAAAACAACGAAAGCGAATGGTACCATTCCATTGCACGTCCATGGAAATCGTCGCTCGAACATTTCATAAGGAAAGTCCTACGACCATGAACTCTAGGAAAGTTAGAGCCGTTTCATAATGACTCATTGCGTCATTGCTGACGCTTAGAACAATGGTAGGCGAACAAAGAGTTTGAAAAATCTTGCTGACACATGGATACAGAGCCGGTAACTGGTGTCCCTGGGGGCGTTAAATAATTCACCGCAGCTGGGACCGAGGGTTAGGTAAGAGGCGAAGGTTGTGGGAGGGCGAAGGAGGCGAAGGTTGAAGGACCGATCAAATATTCACATCTACTTCAACGCGGATGGAGCTAAGCAGCGTCGAGCACGTAAACGTAACCGAGAGAAGAAGAATCTGCGAAGTCAAGTCCAATTGTCTGATACGTGTTCCGAAACTACTCTTTATATAGGTTAAGAAGAAGGAACGATAAATGGATTCGGTGAAAGCGGCGGTTCGTATTCGGAACCATCATAACTTGTCCAACCTTTTTCTCCTTTTTCCTTTTTTTACGATAGTCACCAATATTCGGTCGAGCGATCTCACGGGGACCAACTTGAACGACCAATCACGATGAGCAACGTAAAAATGCGTCACTGGGGTGTTGTAATGTTGCTCGTAGGATCTTGTCGATTTCTATGGTTCATATTCCTCGATTCATCTTTGGGGTCCACTGTTATTTTTAACCTTGGAAGTTTATCGAGAAGCTTTCTTTTTGTTAAATTTCTGGTGGTATAATTATTTATTCTCCCGTCCCGTTCAGCTCGTTACCCTTTAAAAGAAAGTTGATCTTTCTCCGAGTAGAGTTTGGCTAGAACCGAAGGGCTCGGGAAAGAATTGGTCAACGAGGCGTGCTTCGCTCCTAATCATCATTCTAATTATCTCGGTAACCCAATCCAGTGTTCGTGTCGCGTCTTGGCTTCCCGCCTTTCGTTCCCTCTCGAACTTCTCGATTCTCTCGTCTCGATTCCTACACCCTGCCTAGCAAATTTTCTACCCTATCAAGCGGTTCGTCTTCGCCTCGCCTCTACCTCTGTTCCTTTCTCTTTCCTTCGTTCCGCCAATCTATCTCGTCTCCTTTCTTCGAAGTCTAACTGCGGGATTGACGACAACCGCCCATCTAAGTTTAACAATTAACGGCTGAAAAATAAATTAATTGGAAACTAACGCCTCGTGTCAGACACACGCGGCCTAGTATAGATAGAGGGTTCTTGAAGACCTTGTTCGAGGTCTGTGAAACGTGGATGAAGTATTCTTTAAAACGAAGGGAAATCAATTTCTTTTATCGACAGCATAAATATTCTAAAAATGTTTGCAAAAGAAGTTCGTAGAATGTCGTCCTTGACGCGACAAACCACGTGCACAATATTTCAGACTATTTTTATGAAATGCCAAGCCACTGTGACTGTACGACATCCATTCAACCACCCTTACGAATCTTTTCTTTCCTTCGACTCGTCCTTTTGTCCCGGTTGTCAGGGTTGACAGAAAGTGCAAGCATCTGGGATGAGGTGTTTGTCATATGTCGATAGGCGTCAGCGTTGACACAGTCTGTGAGCGTGAAACGGAAGTGGCGTTTGGGGGCGGCGACGATTGAAGGGTTTGAAGGGAAAGACAGATAAATATTTGAGGAATTTGTCGTCGCGGAAGGCGACGACATCGGGAGACTTATCGCCTGTTTACCAGCCTTGTAAAAAAGGATTTCAGTCAATCCTTGTACACAAAACTCCTGGGGGTGAATAAGGGGTTGTCCGTTTAATTATCGTGGGAAAACACCAACTTTTTTCTATACGACTAGAACCGTGTACAACGTTACATTACGGCTGAAAATTTGGAATTGTAATAGGAACGCAGTTAGGGGGAACATCGGATGTAACGGATAGCGAAAAGCCCAGGTAGCTGGAGTAAAACCAGCCCGCCAGGGAAGTTCATTAATGGATTAAGAGTAGCCGATCGATACGATTAGAGTGACGCGTGCGAGCAACGACGCGTATCGAAACTTAACCCAATTGCCGATCAATTTTTTCGTCGCAGACGCACGGGAACGTTTTGATTTATGGCAAAACACGGAAGTCGTGTAAATGTTCGTACGCGGTAGCTGACATTATCGGGAGAGATAAATAAATCTGGATTATCAAGGATTTCCTCGAGGCTAGAAGGCGTGTACAGGGACAATGTAAACGGTTTGACGCGATAAAAAAATAATAATAAAAGAAGAACGCGTTCAGGCTGATCTGTCGAACAAAGTCGATGAATACTGACAGAAACGCGGATGAAGGACTGTAAACGTTACTGTCTGCGATGTACTTTGTTCGTATCGAAATAGAAATAAATTATAATTGATTTATCGGTAATAATGTATCGATAATCCAAATTACTTGAAACTAGGTAACACTGATAAGGTATAATATACAATTAATGTTTGGTTCAGATTCTTTATCATTATTTACATTTCATTTTGTTCTTTTGTTGAGAACAGTTTATCTGATCTTTGCGAAGCGATTGTTTGCTGATAAAATGTCAAGAAATTTGAGTTACAACGTTACGATGATTGATCTTCAGGATTCCGGTACAACTTATCGCTTGTAATTCGCAGAGAATCGTCGATAATCCCCCGTATCTGCTCTAGCTAGATACAGGCAGACTACTTTTCTATCGATCGTACAGATTGATATGAGCACCGTGTAACGTGTGGCCCTTTAGACGTCGTATGGAGGTTGAATTTTAAAACTACCCCCTAGAGAGAAACGGCAAGTTGGCGAGGCCCGTCTGTTTGAATCAGACTGCTACACACGCGGGACACGGTGTTGCGTAAAGGAGTACAAATCCCCGGGGACCACGCGTCGATACCTATTTCCGTCCGGTATCGACGACCTGACGTTCAACTCGAGTCATACGTGCGAACACCTTTCAACACGATATAGGGGAGTAATACGCAAATCAAGTACACAATTAACTCTTAATCTCGGTCAGATTCGATGACACGATTGTACTGCAAGATCGCATTTACGATACATCCATTTGAACGACGTAATCGTTAGATAGTTTCACTATACTCGATGGTTTAATTTGATACATCGCTTTGCTCCGAAGGAATATTAAATTTTTAACACCCGAAATCTTTTGGTCGACATCGTCAGCTAGCCTGCGCTCATTTGCTTGGAGGATGGAAGTCTTCGTCGTCGTTGTCGTTGCTTGGTGACCTCGTAGATTAAAGACGAACGGCAAGTACGACGGTCCCAGGCGACCCTTTATGTTCAGCCACGTTTCCACGCTGCTTGAACTATATAGAAAGCACAAGAGGGAGAGGTCCAAGGGAAAGGGGACGCCGAGCCAGAAGATAGGAAAGCGACGGCTGGATGGAAGGAAGCAAGGTGGTAAGACTCACGGCAGGATGGCGGTTGGTTGGAGGTTTCAAGGTGGAGCTCGACCCGCTGTCGTGGCTCTAATAAGCTACCCCCAAACCTCGTTCCACCTTACGACCCTTACATCCCTTTACGGGCACACCGGGCATCTTGCAATTTGATAAACTGTCATCGATAGAACACCTTATTTCTGTCGTCTTCCTTTTCGGACCTTCGTATTCCATCAGACACGTAAGTTGTCCAGACGGTTATCTATTTCATTTTTTATCTACTTATCGAGGGATCACTTGTTTGTTTAAAAAAACAAGTTCGTGAGGGGGTTCGGTTTCTTCAAATTTGCTGGTTGAGTTCATCTTCACAGAAGTCTTCCCATTTCCATGCAAATCGGTAGGCCATAATTCGAGCGAGAGGCAGTTGGGAAAAAATTAGAGGAATCTGTAGTTAGTTCCAGACTGATGGTTACATCTGTTGTCAGGGACAATTTCATTATCAGTGATAGCCTCGTATCGCGAATTGTTCCAGGGTTACCCGATGCGACTATATCGATCTTTAGAGCCAGTGGACTGAACTGTACTCGATGGAGCAGAAGGGCAGCTGCGGCACAGGACCTTGAAGGCCAGCGAGTAGACCCCAGCCTCTTGGGAAATGATACCACTTTGCAAGGAGCGAATGGAAATGACCCTAGGATCGCCTCCGGTTCGCTTCTCTCTTGGGTCGTTCTTGGTCAGAGACGATGACGATTGCGAGGGACAGGGTAACGAAACTACCCTGATTAAGGGGCGGTCGCATTCCAATGATACCCTTAACCCCATAACTTTCCATGTGTGGCGTCTCGATTCTTTGTAATTGCGAAACGAACACCTCGAAAGAAGATCGTCCTCTTTCGTAAGTTCACTCTTAGTACCGTTAAAAATTAGCAGATCTAATTATTGACCTATCGCGCGAATTTCGCGACAAGTTTCGAACATTTACGTGCGAGTATTCATTAAGAGCAGATGCTGTGCACAGGCAGGGGATACCGGAGACTGTTCTCGTAACCAGGGTAATCGGAGGTTGCTCAGAAACGGTGAGAAAGTTAGGTGAAGTTGGAGCGGGTGTACACCCCTCGTGTGACGAGTCGTTTCTTGACAC